CTCCTCACTGGGGAGCTCCTTGTTTTCCATTTGAAGTCTGCCTCTGTCAGATTTCACCATTAGAGGGAGGGGGGGTGCAGCAGGGGGGAAGAAGACAATTCCTGGATCAGTCATCTCATACGGGCTGCCAGAGAAGCATGGAGGACATTGAGGATGAATCCAGGGATAGCTTGCCAAGGTATGTTTTGCCTGGAACCTGGAAAAAAATTGAATATTGCTAGCAAAAGGTATACCAACTAGGTCCTACCTTATAAGATATCCTGTACTCTATCTAGTATTGAAACGTTTGCATGGTTCATTTATTATTTATTATGAAATGTGGAATTTTGCCAGCCACTTTGATTGTTATCAACCGATTGATCACATAGATACGGGTTGAAATGGGGCTGCTATGTCTACTAGTTGGTTCAGAAGGCTTTTTCATCCATCCACATGCTGATCACTGACAAAAGAACAAGACGAAGATGTAAGGCGCCGACCTCTAGTGACCATAGTAATTGATGGGAGCAAAGGAGGAAGTCAGGAAGAGTGACGTGTCCACGTAGGGAGGAAGTTGGGTTGATGGGTCAAACAAACACAGAACCCTCACCCAGGTAACCACTTTTCGTGTCTTGTGTGAAATCAAAACTCAACGTTGACTTTTACCATATTTCTGTTACATTCAGCCCAAACCACCATCTTTTCTTGAACCCTGACCAAGAAGTTTTGTTGTTAAGCTTCACTTTCACAAAGTGGTAGGTTTCATTTTGGCCCGACTGCAGCATTAGAACGGTAGTGATGCTAACCACTGATAATGCCCATTCAATTGGCTTATAACATTTTTGAAATGGGGTGCATTTCAGTTATTTTTCATAATGTTAAATTAAATATATCAGGCAAAACAAGCAGTTTGAAGACGCTTACTTGGGGCTCTGGGATCTTGGAATGATTTGACAAAAAAAATCAATAATTTGTAGATTGATGATAATAATCATTAGTTGCACCCCTGTAAATATGACTTTCCAAGTACTGAATTTTATGCATCTAATTATTTTTTACACATTAAGAAAAACATTAAGAAATGAATTTCTCATTGTCTTTGTGATACTAGTCAATACAGAGCTCTTCACGTCATTTTCCTATTCCCTTGTTTCTCGTTTTCATTCCCTTGTGCACTCATCTTTTTGCACAGCAACATAATAACCCTCAGCTTGCTGTGACATCAAGGATTGATGGGCAGAAGATTTCCAGCTGAGAGCCATTTCCAAACACCAAGGCGTGATCCAACAGTCGATAGTTGCCTTCGAGGGTTTTTTGACTCTTTCTGGGCGTACTTTCCATCTCATCTCTTCAAAGAGCAACCGTAGTAATAATCAGAAGAAATTCTGGCTGCTAGCGTCTGTTGTTACATACACAATGACAACAAAAAGCAGAGAATACTGAATTTAAAAAATGCAAGGTTCGAGGAATCTTGATGAAATTGAACATTTAGCCACGAGAATGAAAGTGTACTTAATTTGTAAGGCCCTTGCGGCTAGAGCGCACTGCTTTTGTCACAGCGTTGTTGCCACAAAGCTCCCTTTATGTCAATCTAATGCGATTTAACCTTCTTACTGAGAACACGGTATCAAGAGGAGTTCGGGACAGACAGCTGATATGAGTTAAGTGCACGGCGCGCTGCTGGGTACAAGCGAGAGAGGAGAGGCAGTGTTGTGGTTTATTTGGTCCAGTTAACACACACAGTGTATAATGGATATTTAACAGCCCCAGCCTGCTGGAAGTGTGCCGTGTACTGAAATGGTGCTGGGGACATCTGAGGGAGTGTGTGACTGCCAGGATGACACACCCATTAAAACACACTTAGTCCATTTCACTGCTGCAGCTCCGCTCTGCATTCATGCCACAAGACTGAACACAACACATGCGTGCCTCTGTCTTATTAATGGATGCTCTCAGTGAATCCATACCATCGTCCATATGTCTATATATACCTAAGAATATACAGTAGACTGGAGATAGGGATGATGATGTTTTTAGTTTTTCATAAGTCTGGGGTAGGTAGGAGAAGCGAGCATCCTTCCCTGCTGCGCCTTTGGCAGGATGAGCATCTCATCCTCTTCCTGCTCTGAGCACCTCCTGAATTATTGAAATAAGAAAGGCGCCTATGCTTTGTCTTGTATCATCAGGATAGACGCCAAAACTCCAATCTGAGCGATCAACTCCCGTCTAACTCGTTGCAGATAAGCTGTTTAATTGAAGCTCTCCCACTGGATCATGCGACAGAACACCATTTAGTTTTTTGTAGGTCAGGCGTCTCAACATGGCTTGTGTTTGTGCGAAAGGAAAGAGCTGCTGCTGAGTTCTCACCAAAGGCAATGAGGCAGGCGCTGGAAGGCAAGAGTTACCTGAGCCCAGGTGTCAGGAGGACTCTTGTACTTGTAGCCATCAGCTGAGGTTCCTCTAATGATGCCTCTCATCATCATGCTGCACTCAGTTTTCTCCAGCAGAACTCTGCAATTTACTGGAGACACGCCGTGAATATAATGGAGGCAATGCAATAGATTGTGCTTCAGCCTGTACTTAGTATTCCAACTCATCAAATACCGACGTTCGGTCAGTGGCCCTGTGCTTCAAACTGTGATGCTCTAGGACTCAGGGATTGTGGATTTCCGCTTATTACATGCATAACCTCTTTTCAAAATACACCAGCAAAGTAGGGTTACTTACGCAACAAAACGACTTGGTTGGGCTCGGGAGAAGATTGTGGTTTGGATTAAAATAAGTCCCTTTGTTGTGTAAATTAATTATGCTTTTTTTTGCTGGAATTAGTAAAGTCACGTAACCAAACTATGTTAAAATAAGTCAGTTTGTTGGGTTTCATAGGACATGAACAGCGTTCTTCTGGGTGAAAGTCAGACTGTACATAAGAAGTGGATGTAGATATCGTGCCGTCACCCATTGGGTTGTGGATTGCCGTTTTGAAGCCTCAAGTTCGGCGATTTCGCCGTTGCCAATTTGGATTATGGCTGTCACCATGTTCTTTTGCAACCAATGAATGGAAGTTACCATATTTGGAATGCGGAGGAGTGACGTAGAGACGCCGTATATGATTCTGGTAACCTGTCAATCACATTGCTAACTCAGTAGATCACAAAGAAAGAGATTATTGTTACAGATATTATTTAATATTGTGGGTGAAACGCTTGAATAGACAAATGTTGCCTCTAGCTGGTAGCATTGTATCAGTTTCTCATGTTTTATGTGGAGAATATCAGCTTCATATGTGCTCCATATAGAGCTGGACGAATTAATAAAATGTTATTTTCCATTTCGAATTTAGCTTCCAGAGATAAACAAGGTGTTTATGATTAAATTGTTTACAGGAGCACAACATTCTTCATTAATCTAGCCTCTTAAAAATGCACCAGATTGATCCATTTTACTTAATTAACCCAAATTTCATTCATAAATGCATAATGTTTTCAACCAAATCAAAAATATTTTAACAAATTGTTAATTTGTTTTGACATCATGTTAAAAATTTAATTATGTAGTTAATGTATTTCACATACAGACACTTAGCTGAAATACTCTCTTTAAATTTATATTTACTCTCTATATGAAATTGCAGCCATCAACCAGTTCACAACAGATTTGCACATGTACTTGTACTTTGTGATGCGTTTACTATGTAAGCAGGACAAAGACTGGTAAACGAAATAATACTGATGATTAAATCACACTGGGTAGAAACCTGCACAGAACAGGCCGCAGTGGATGGATATGTTAAATTTAGTTTTCAAGAATGCACAAAGAGCTATTGACTGGCCGACTCCCGGGTGAGGCCGACTCCCGGTGCAGGTGATCGATGTGTGTGTGGTCATTGAACGGAGCTTAGAGGTAGTTTGTATTCTATTAGCAATCTCTGGGGTTTTACAGCAGTGGAACAAAAGCTCACGCTGATGCCTAGTTGCTGGCAAAGAAAAGACCAACGCCGCTGTTACGTCTGTAGGCTGCTACTTCTGCTGTTTATCGGCTTTTTTCTCCCTCAGCCAGTTGTAGTTTTACAGCTGCTATGAGGACTTGCCAATCGTGGTGTGACCGACCCTGATGCATAATTCTGTTCCTGCTGGAAACTGTTTGTGCTACAGCTTCCGTTGCTGCTCATAAGCCTCTCGATGTGTGTACGTACAGCTCTCAACATCTGAAAGACACTGATGTCTTCCTTTTAAAACGCCGCTCAGATGATTTAATGACAGGTTAAGGGGTATAAACTAATTGAACTATGTGAGTTGATAAGTTGTTGTGCTTATCTTCTGACAGCCAGTATGACAAGGTTGTAACGTTTACCCAAGATTTTGTCCCCTCGTATAGTGCATTAACTTAAGTGTCACAGCACAATTTTACAGCAGTTCGTGGAAAAAGTCTCAAAATGCAATGTATTGGTTGTGTTTAAAGGGACACATTTTTCCGTGTTGCTTGAAATAACTACGTATAGTTAAGTTTAGGCAACAAAAACAATACATTTGAAACCACAACGTGGTGTCAAACAACGGCCTTCTGGTTGAAAGCCCCGTTTGTTGGACCCATCCACCTCCACTACCGCCGCCCAATAGTCGTCTTTTTTGGCTATTATAATAATATGCTCTGAGTGTTGCTTAGTCTTATGGATGCATTGAATTTGTGTGTCTGTATCTGAATGAGGCTCCTAATTAACTTTCCATTCGCATTATTTTCGTCCTGAGGGACAAGAAAGTGTCTCTGTACACGAACCAATAGATTGCATTTGGTAACTATTTCACAGACTGCCCTGATACTGGGCTGCATATCAACTCTATCACACATAATTGGAAGTCTGTTGATAAATGATTATGATGCTGGTGGAAGATAATTGCGTCATACATGGCCGTGTGGTCCTAAAATGAATTCCTTCACAATCTGTTGATGCTTGACAAAAATGGCAACTTATTTGGCATGCGGCGTCCAACACTCAAACTGTTTCTCATGTGCTTCTCATTCAGATCCCAGTGAGAGCCTGTACAGCATGAGGCTGGTGTGGAAATCCCTGGACAAGATGAGGTGTCTGAGGAAACGCTCTACTATTCCCTTCCTCGGCTTCCTCATCACCTTCCTCCTCTTCCTGAACCTCTACATTGAAGATGGCTACGTGCTGGTTAGTACATTTGAGTCGCGCATGTTCTTAGCATTTCCCGAATTAGAATCTTAGATGAAGTATTCCTTCTTAAATTCTGAACAAACACATTTCACCAAATATGCCTTTGAAACCGGATGTGTTCTTGCACTTGTCCCTTTTATAATTGCTTGTTTTAAAGGAAACATGTTTGAATTTTTTATAACATGGTCCCAAGTTGAAATCATCGTTTATTTATTATTCATGGTGCCATCAAAACTGGGTGATCACAGTACATTATCTGTGTTTGTTATTTAAATTATTAAGAGAACGTTCGCATCTCCGGCTCTCCGGCTCTTTTTTCTCAGCTCCACTTGCTGGGCTATGCAAAGTGCCTGTAGCGGCTTTAAGGTTCCTTTTGTCTCCAAACGTTAAGGGTTAGCTCTGCCACGTCAAAACACATATTGTCTCAAGTTTCTACAGGATGTTCGAGACAAGTTTTTCCCTTCATTTGAATTGTTCACTGTAGAAATTGAAATTTGCATGATGACTTTCCTGTCCCTTCTCTGCAGTAGTTATAACAGCTTGTACATGTTTTTTTTTTCTCTCCTTTGTTCATAATGCAAAGTTATGTTGTGTTTTTCATGTTGTGTTCCAGGAAGGAGATAAAAGGCAGCTCAGGGAAACATCAGTCCACCCTTCGAGCGCAGAGCGATACGTTCACACATTCAGAGACCTGAGTAATTCCTCTGGAACCATTAATGTCACGTATCGTTATCTCGCTGGTACCCCGCTGAACCGCAAGAGTAAGTTTAATGTTTGTTTAAAGAGAAATTTACATACACTGTTTTCATGCGCTTGGGGGAGTTACAGTAAGTCATACAGTGGTTGTGAGCATGAGCTGAGAATAAGAGCTAAAATTTAAAAATCTGCGACGTGGGGATTGAAAGCGCAGCAATAAACTGCAACTGCTCCAAAGAGACCTTTTTGCCTCAAAATTAATAAGCACTCCTCCTCTCGAGTACACCTTGGTTTAGTCACCAAACAGGATGTTGTACTTACAATGAGCAAAAAGCTTTAATTTAGGCTCTTATCCGTTAAATGTTTTGCAGCACTATTTACAGAAATGAATCACTGCTCACTGTGAAGCATTTTGCACTTAATTCCTCATTGGAAAATGTCTTCAAAATACAATACTAGCTTTCTCTCGACATTACAACTACATCTCTCGGTCCGACTCATGAGTGGGTGGGCGTGGCTGTATTGGATTTTGGTCACTTGATGACAGGTGGTCATGTACGTTGGGGAGATCAGCTGATAAAGACCCAGTGGCCGGGGGAAAATGTTGGTTTTGTTTGTTTCTGCAGAGCACGGATACGTTGAACGTCAACATTTTTGTAATTGGTCAGATCAAGTGATGTAATACAAAGAGCGACGCTGTGTATCGAGCAACCATTATTGAAAGTTACGTTTTATAACAAGGTCGTTTCGAGATGGTACCCCACAACTTACAAAACTCTCACAAAATAGATAAGTTTATGCATTGACCTTTATTGGTTTATGTTCAATAGGTTGTCAGGCAGTAAGTCTTAAAGGAGTTTTTGTAAATTATGGGTACCATCTACGACTGTATAATAACCAGTATATCAAGCGAGAAAGTCCACCAAGTATGAAAAGTATGAATTCGGTTTATATCATGCTTTCATGAAATGCAAATTTTTCTTCACAGAATATCTCACCATTGGACTGTCGTCAGTCAAAAGAAAAAGAGGGAACTACCTCCTGGAGACGATCAAGTCCATCTTTGATCAGTCCAGTTACGAGGAGCTCAAAGAGATCGTGGTCGTGGTCCACCTGGCAGACTTTGACCTGGCCTGGTGTGAGAACCTGGTGCAGGAAATCACCAGGAAGTTTGCCCACCACATCATAGCCGGACGCCTCCTGGTGATCCAGGCCCCAGAGGAGTACTATCCGTCTCTGGACGGGCTGAAAAGGAACTACAACGACCCGGAGGACCGGGTCCGTTTCCGCTCCAAGCAGAACGTGGACTACGCTTTCCTCCTCAACTTCTGCACAAACCTCTCTCACTTCTACATGATGCTAGAGGACGACGTGCGCTGCTCCAGGAACTTCCTGACGGCGCTGAAGAAGGTGATCACCTCCAGGGAAGGTTCCTACTGGGTGATGCTGGAGTTCTCCAAGCTGGGCTACATCGGGAAGCTGTACCACTCCAGGGACCTGCCACGTCTGGCTCATTTCCTCCTCATGTTCTACCAGGAAATGCCCTGCGACTGGCTCCTCATCCACTTCAGGGGTCTGCTGGCCCAGAAGGACGTGATCCGCTTCAAGCCCTCGCTGTTCCAGCACATGGGCTACTACTCCTCTTACAAAGGAGCCGAGAACAAGCTGAAGGACGACGACTTCGAGGAAGACTCCATAGACATTCCTGACAACCCTCCCGCCAGCATGTACACAAACATCAACGTCTTTGAAAACTACGACGCCACCAAGGCGTACAGCACCGTCGATGAGTATTTCTGGGGGAAGCCTCCTTCAACAGGAGACTTCTTTGTCATAGTATTTAACAAATCTACCAAAATTAGTAAAATTAAGATTGCTACTGGTTCCGACGACCGACAGAATGACATTCTTCACCACGGAGCTCTGGAGGTCGGAGAGAAACTAGTTGGGACTAAAAAAGGGAAACAGTGTTCCTCTTATATCACATTAGGGGAGTTTAAAAATGGCAACATTGAGGTGCAAGATGTAGACCACAAAATTGCCTTTGACATTGAGTGTGTTCGCATTGTGGTAACAGCCAGTCAGAAAGAGTGGCTCATCATTAGAAGTATAAGTTTATGGACTACACAACCCCCCAGCCAATAAGGACTACACACAAAGACTCTTAGTATGTCTTAGAGGCAAAGGTTTTTATTGTTATTATTTAATAATCTATGTATTTCCAGGTTTATTTATTCATTTTATATGTATTTATTGATACTCACTTTGATTGCCAAATTAGTCTATAGTTTTTTATACCTGCAAGTTGTAAACTTAGTGGAGCATCTTCACAGTCATTGTTAAGGACTGTTGAGCTGACCTCACACTATTCATGAACGTGTGTTTTCTTAAATGTTCCTTTAGTTATTTCAGATCTTGATAGCTGGGCGATATCTCAGTGTTGTGTTTGACCAACTTTTAGTGATATTGTACAGATATAATCATATTATGGTATTGTTTTACAACATTCCCTATGTTCAAATCCTACGAAAAGACCAAACCCAACAATGAATTGATCCCACTTACAAGTATTGTATCCAAAGTCCGATATATTTTATTCCTTTTTGCCAGAGACCTCCGTTGTTGTCCAAAAACTGTTGCAGTCAGTGAGCCATTCCAATTCACTGGGGGACATGCTACTTCATTACAATAAAGATGGGCCCTTATACAAGGTCGTGCTTCTGTAAATACTCACTAATGCACCATTATAACAGCAATGTGTAGTAATCCACAGCTGAAGATAGCTTCAGGATTTACGTTTCAGAAGAAGTGAATGGGCTTGGGGCTAAGATCCTCAGACAGGGGAAGTCAAACACTACTCAGAGAGGGAACAACACATTTTAGGGTTTGTGTCTTTTCATGGGATTTGTTGACATTAATCACACCAGCCTTATACTTAAATGGTTCCAAGCTAAATATAATTGAAGTGTTGCATTTAGAGAGTTTTGACCGGTGTAGAGTGTAACCATGAACCACATTTCATTGCATTAAACCAGCACAGTTGCCAGGAAAATAATATTGCATGTTGAGTTCCTGCAAACAATGGATGCGTTGAACGTGGACGTTTTTGCATTCAGTCAGAGGAAGTGACGTAATATATCGAGCCGTTATTGAAAGTTATAACAAGCAACAAAGATAGTTTAAAGAAACACTGGACTTTCACCCGGGACACCGCTGTTTGTGTCTTATGTGAAACCAAAGGTAAACATTGACTTTACGCTTGTTGTTACGTAAGAATGTCCGCCAAAGATTGTTGCTATTTATTTACGCTAGTTAAGTTGTAACAGTTGTTAAGTTATGTTGTTAGGCTATTATTCTGACATATTTCTTTCTATTCTTAACCAATCGTTTCACAACGTCAACCACGTGTCATTGTGCGTTTCTGCAAGTGTGATCGAGGTTGATATGAAACGTATTAATGAAACATATTTTTGGCACAAAAGCTTTGACATTCAACATTTCCCGTGCTTTGCAGAAATGTACAATGCCAACTATTTTTTCTGGCGACTGGGTAGATTGAACATCAGTATCCACCCTACAGTACCATTACTGATTTCTGTTAATTTTATTATAATTGACCACGGTTGCTCCTCTAAATATTATGAACCATTTATAATCTATGAATGTGGGAAAAGGATAGTTATTAAGAGGTGTAGTTAAATTATTTTTTAGAAACAGGTTCTCCTTGAAAATACCGTCCAATTAAAGCTATTTAACAAAAGCTTAGCACTGGGATTTCTCTCTTAACTATTTCCCTCATTGAAAACTCACCAGGAGAGTGTCAGAGGGCATCGTTGCCGTGAATATTCATCATGTCACAGCTAACTTTTGGCAGTCTCAAATTTTCTTTCCCGATTTAATCATCTCCTCCTGTTTGAGGTGAGTGGGCTGAGCTCCTCTACTGGCGCCGTTACAGTATGTTCCGTCAGGGCTGCTGACAGGAGAACAATGTTTGTTTTCACCCATCTTCTCTCGGAGCTGAGATTAGATTGCACAGTGAAGAATGGGCCAGGTCTGCTCTTAGGTCTCTCTTTCTTTTTTTCCACCACAGCACAATTTTCCCCCAGCAAATTGGTCTGTGTTTGCCTCACGCTCTACACCAGCAAAACAACATCTCCCCTGAAGCTATAGAATCTCAATTCGCTCTTTTCCCCCCAATGTTGTGCTCTCACAACTCCGATGTTTCTGCTCCTACATGGTTGCCTCCCTGTGATCTTTGCTCTCGCTTCATGCAGTCTGCCGCTGCTTTGGGGAAACTTGCTCGGCTTTTCCTTTGATGTATCCATTTTCAAATTCCCCACCTTGCCTCGTGTTGTTGAACAGCAAACATTTGCGAGAATTGACACTGCACATATTAACTGATGATCACCGTGTAGCAATTCAGAGCCGTGCTTTGAAAACAACCTTGTCACTTTCCATGTTCGTGTAATTCTGACCTGTCGGTGAGCAATGTTCAGTGACCGATTAGTTTCTACATCGAAACGGCGTCAAGGAATCCCTCAACAATGCAATAAAGAGGTAAATGTTTACATAACGCCCACGTTCTTTGGGAACACGAGGTTGAAGCAGATTGTCATTAAGCATGCTGCGACAGTTCCGTAACGCTTTGTTCAGCTGTTGCGATAGCCACCTGTTCCGTGTTTTCCCTCAAGGTCTTGTTCAGTGTCACAGATCAAGGCCTTTCGCAGATTGGCTTGTACCGGCACCTCAAAATCCTTCCTCAGCAAATCCCCCATGTGCTATCTGAAATGAAATTAGAATGCCCCACCACCACCACCACCACAATGTAGCTCATTGTTTTTCCTCAGCATTTCCCTTGGAAAGTCGCTATTCATTTTGGTGAACGATTCCGTGACCTGCATGGATCGGGTGGCGGGGTGGGGGTCTCGTTTCAATGGATGATCCTCGGAAACACAATCTACAATTGTGCCGTGCATCCGTTCTTTGAGACGCACGTCGCGGTGCCAATTCAGCCCGGTATTATACCTGCCTATGAGCTATAAACACATGATGTCACCGCAGGGCAGTTAGCTGTTTTACAAGTGTAATGGATGGCTTTGGTACGCCTCGCACTCACAAGTAGACCAATCGTGTCGTGTGGCTGTTATTTCTGGAGGAGAGATTGCTGTCTGATCTTTATTTGAAATAAGACGCCGGCCAAAACGAGCTGCTCGCTGCAGATTTATGAACAGATTTACATCTTGGGGATAACAACAAAAGCCGCATAAATTCCTCAACTGGATGTCAGACAAACTGCTGAGCACAGCATTCTTCGCTATTGGCAGCATGTTTGGCAAACCACAATCCATACTGGCGCCTCGAGTGAACAGCGTGCACAGGATCAGTTACACTGTACATTTCACTGAATACTAAAGGATGGTTTTTGTTCCTCTTGTTTAGTACTTACAGCAAATAAATGGCCATTTCCCATGTCCATTTGTCAAGAATTACAATCTCTGTGATGGAAAAAAGGGGCAGATGTTTGTGAATCACTTGCAGGAAGGTAACTGTCTAAGTTTGTTTAATTATATTGGTTGTGAGGGTCCGATCCCCCAAAGCTCCAAGCAAGTGATGAATGTGAATACGATGTGTGGGTCCTGAGTTATTTGAGATGTGAGCTGTCTTCCAGTGGAGCATGTACAAAGTGCATGAACTAAAGAATTTTTCAGTGGATAAAGAAACTCCTTTTATACGTCGGGATCTATGAATTATTGTTCAGCTTCTGCTAATGAAATTGTCCTGGGTTTGTACGTAGATGCCTACCGACACCACCTTACAACAGGTCCGGGGCTCCCATGTGCTGTATATTGTTAAGTGGAGCGAGTGTGTTAAGATGTTGTTTCTGTGTCCGTTTTAACTTTCCATCGTTCTCTAAATGGTACTGTATTGTAAGATGACATATATTTTTTTACACGTATCATTTCAAATGTTGTACTGTATTGAAATTAGATTAAACAAATGGATGCCAAGTTTGTGGTGCATTGACTGCTACGACAGAGCTGTGTAGGAGAGAGCTCAAGAGGGCACTGAGCATTGAATATGTGTGCGCAGTGTAACTTGAATATCGGTTTGAATACCTCCAGGAAAACTAAACACTATTTACATGACCCTGAATCGAAAATGTCGTCCTTCCGTCTTTGCTTCCACATGTTTCGTTTCACCGTTTAAAACGTTTATGAATAGAAGTAGAACATGCTGTGCACATTTTACATTTCAAAGGAGGGGGAAAAAAACAACCGAACTGACATTTGCAGTTCCTTGAAACTCGCAGCGAGAGCAAGCCTGTCTGACTCACATCTTGCTATAGCCAAAAGCAAAAGCCATACATTATTCATTTCAATATTCATATGCTTTTTGCTTCTTCTTTTTTTTACTACTTAATGAAGGTGTGGGGATGGTGCTTGGGGGGGATACTGTACTGTTTAAAGCAACATGTTCTTTGTGTATTTGTCGAGATGGGTCATACATTTCCTTATATATCGCCTGTCAGACACCTGGGAACATGGCTGACGAGGACAACAGACAAACGATCATTCTGGAGGAGTGCAGTTGATCAAGTAGTTTAAATCAATGCAAATTACTCTATATTTTGTATCGCCTGTTTAAATAGACCAACACATTTTTACTTAACTTGTCAAATACCGCCACTTGGTCAGTGACAGTACGCTCGACACTGACGGTCCAGGTCAGCTTCTAGCGTCAGTTTTAGGAGCGTCAGGGACGGCTTTTCTGTTTTCGCTGGTTGTGTCTTTACAAAATAAACTTCCGACGCAGGTTTAATTGTTTTTTTTTGTTTACTTACGGAACACCCTACTTAGGCAACAAAAGTACTTGCTTATGTTTGAGAAGATATTGTGGTTTGGGGTTAATTGAGTCTGTTATCACACAAAAGTATGCTTGTTACGTAACAGGTGTCGGTAAAGTACGTAAGTTAATGTTACCTATCAAAACTACGGTAAAAAAGTGAACATTCATTTGGTTTCACACCAACAGCAGTCCTGTGGGTGACACAACTGCCCTTAAGTAACAATAGTAACAAGGTTCCTTTTGGTTTCACAAGAGACGTAGGCAGCGCTCTCCTGGGTGAAAGTCCTGTGTTTCTTTGATTCAACCTCCGCCACCTCCAACACACCCAGTGAAACTTTCTCTCTTGCTATATTCAGCCAACGTTGATCAATATAAATCGCCTCCACGATCACTCTCTGGCCATTTAATGTACTTTGTTAGATTCACAAGTGTCAAGAATGAACTAAACACATAAATGTCACACGGAGCTATAGTACTGACCATAGAAGAAGCCAGTCAAAAAGGTAAAGGGGTGAAAATTTGGCTTAAAATGTTATATTTATTAGTGTTACTTGCAAAGAATTAAATGGAAACACTGACAACAATCACTCCCAATGGCACTTTAGTTATTCTAACTTTTAACATTTCCCCAAACTAAAATAAACAATGTATTTCTTGCCGTTAGATGTCTCGGGGTCTCGTGGAGCCAGGATATTTAGAGAATCTTTCAACTCGTAGAGGAGCGTATAATCTGTTAATTGAACAGATTGGGCGTTCACAGTGCCGTGCTAATTACAAACTGGGTGTTAAATGAAGAGCATTTGGCACATTTGCAATTCACAACAATGTGAGTATATTAAAGAAACACAAAAAAAACAGGACGAGAAATGAATATGTAAACACTTGAGTAGAAGTTTAGATGGAAAATAGGATCTGTAAACAGAGTCACAGTTATCAAAGGTTTTATGACAGGTTTGATGAAAACTACTTTTGGAGTCAAATTTAACACCTTCAGGCTTTCACAGTTCCCACACCATTTAAGAGACCTTGAGCGCTTTGTCACAGTCGTCCCCACCTCTCCCCCTCTCCCCGTCTCCCGTCCTTCAAAGTCATCCAGAACCAAATAGAAGGTAAGCGTACATGACGGCCGGGCACCTGAGAAACCACAGCTAATGCGGGCTATGGAGAGGCTTGGGTAGCAGGTAGAAAAACCAATATCCTACATAATAAGACCTGCACTGTGCACAGCGGGGGACATCAGCCAATCAATTGCCGTGGTTGCCATGGTGCTGCCAGCATGTACCTGCACAGGGGCCAAACCCCACATGATCACCGGGCTGATGTGGATTTTGTGGATCCGTCCTGCCCCCGTGCCTCTGGGAATCCGCCTCTGTGGTGGGATTTCTATTCCGCCTCACATTTGCTATCCGTCTGCAAGGACGCAGCGGCAACGTGTGCAGCAAAAGAACAATGACGCACCAGTGTAGCATCAAAGCCTGTCAATAGCCTTTGATTAGTGTATTTTGTGTGTTACACGGTTAATTTCCCCGGCAGCACAGACCCACATGAGCTAGGTGCATCCGCTGAGGTGAGGCAAAGCTCGGGAAATGGACATGGGGAGATAAAAAAAATTAAAAAAGAGCTGAAAAGAAGTGCAATGAACAGACGTAAATACAGGGATTTAAAAATATTGAAGTTGAAGCGAAGCTGAAGGCAGGGAAACATGAAGCAGGTGATGAATGACTCGTAATAACCTCGCAAGGAACTTGTGATTGTGTGTCTACCGGTGATGGAGGGGCCTCTCAGGGTTCAGGTGCTCTCGGGCTGATGATCAGCCAGTTACGGAGGATACCACGAGGGCCCGAGCCAACCTGCGCCGCTGGCTATTGAACCAGCTTCATGATGGCAGAGGAAAAGGATGTATCCTTATCTGCCAAATCTGGAATGAAAACGTCCGAGAGTGAGGATGAAAGCACGTTAGCATTCAATCATCATTTGTTACCGGGGCGGTGGAAAATCAAAGCTATGTAAAAGTGTCATCTGCATCTGTGCAGAACGGAGGATTGAGTCGTTCCACGTGGTACGAGAGACGAGGTATAACTGCGTAGGTCACGACTTTAATTACGTGGGTTAAGCCGCGCTCATATGGCCCAGATGATCCATTCCAGTGGTGCAGACAATCTAAGAAATTCCTTTCATCTGCTGTCGTGATGCTGAACATTAACAGTGAACCAGTCCAGCAGAACACGGCGTGCTGTACTTTAACTACTCCCATGGCATTTACAGGGTCTTCACGAGGAGTGGAGATAAAAGGAACAGCGCTGCAGGCGCTGTTGGAGCCAGCTCCTTCCTCATCGTGGATAGTCCCTACGGCGAATGAGGGTTTAATCGCTCCCAATTGCTTTGCCTCAAAAAGGTGTGACCCCAATCCCCTCCTGCTACCCCCACCACCAGCCTCCCATCTGTCTCTCATTCTTGCCAGCGAACAAATCTTGCCACAGGGAGACGTGCTTCCACTTTTGCTCAGTCCCTTCTTCCCTAAACCTCCACTCTCAGCTTTGCGAAGCCTTCATCCCACTGGGAACAGGGGAGAGGAGTAATCAAAACAATTACCCGAGTCCCATTTTGTTTCATAGGAGACTTGTCTTTTTTCATGTGAAATCTTCAGCCTGAATGAAACAGGTTGTGTCTTGGGGCTTCTTTTGTGGAACATCACAGAGGCAGCAGCCGTCACAACACAAGAGAAGCTTCAGCTTCACGCTGCTTCTACCAGCAGGTTTATCACTTGGCTCTTTCGACAAGAGATCCACAACCAATTACCGAGAAAAAAAAAAGGGGGGGGGGGGTGGGACAACGTGTGAAACAAAAGCAGTCACCTTGATGTATTCAAGCAAACAGTTATCAGAAGACATCCTTCCATCAGAAACTGTGGGATATATAGAAATCTGGATCATCGTGTAGGAAGCAAAGCGGCCTCGCTGCACATGTTTCACTGCCGTTACCTCGAGGGATCGTTATCTGTTTTCAGGAAGAAAAAAAAAGGAAAAGACAAACACAGGAGGATCTCCATGCCAAGCTTACCTCACAGTGTGTCTCGTGATCCAAACGGCTGAAAGGAAAAGCTAGGCAACGTCTTTGCAGATCAATGGTTCCTTGACTTTGATGAGACAAAATGAGCTCACCACAAGATATAATGTGTTGCCTGGCCCTCCCCGCTGCTCATATCTATCCCCTACAGTAGCTCTCATACTCCCGGGCATGTCGTCCAAAATTGTAAAGGCCTTAATTAAAGATTAATGTCAGGGTTTCTTGCATACGCTGCTTAGATAACTCATTTCCCAGGGCGCATTGCTGAAAACTACCCAGGCTGGACACCAGATATTTCAGCTGTCAGAACAAAAGCCCTCAGCTCACTGGCCAACACGAGCCTTTCAGCTGAAGGACAAGTAATAACAGCTCTGCTGCTGCCTTTGCGATGCCACCACTGTGACTGGAACAGGGGGAGGTTGAGTCATTTTAATTATCAGAGGCAGGCGAAGAGACACAATCAGCCCGCCACACCGACTGCTTGTCCCTCCACCCCTCGCAACAATTACAGATGCTCGTCTTCTTCATGAAGCCTGTTTATAATGTCAGGGCATGCCACAGAGAGGGGGATTTGTCTGTGGGAATCAGCCTCGCTCTATATGCCTCTCTCAAACTAACAACGGAGGTGTGGATGCACGGCTTGCTTGTACAGGCAGAGCCATTCGATCATGTGTTTCGCATGTGTGTTCATGTTTTGTC